TGGGAATGGTAGTACCAGAGAATATCATTATCAGAGGAGTATTATATTAAAATTAAGTTAAATTAGATGGCACTTTTAAATATGTTTGCATATATTATGGTCCATCCAACTTTCTCTGGTATTACATACTTATAATGTTTAGTAGATTTTGCTTTTCTTTACCTAAAAGTTATCTAAGTTTTGTCCTTTGGAGGGGAGGAGACAACCATCAGTATTCAGTGTTACTCTGGGCTTTGCACTCCTGAACCATCTCATGGCAGTGCTCAGGGACCACGTGGGATATCAGGGATCAAATTTGGACAGATGCAAGGCAAGCATCTTATCCTCCATACTATCCCTCAACCCCATAAGTTTTGTCTTTTTTTACTTTGGTTTGGGGCCACACTCGTGGTTGCTCAAGGCTTACTCCTCGTTCTGTGCTCATGGATCACTCCTATGAGCACAGCAGGATCCAGGGTAAGGTAAGTGACCTCCCTGCTCTGTTATCTCTCAGCCCTGAGTTTTGTGTTATTTTTGTCAAAATATGTTAATAAGTTTGTGTCTGTGTGCTGGTATCAGTGGGTTTTGCTATACAATGATATATGATAGCCTTTGCAGACTTTTTGCATTATATACATCATATCCCTCAGCTTACTATTTTTATTTGTTTTGGATTTTTGATGGCCTCCCCTGGGCAGTGCCCAGGAAGCTCAGGTGCTCCTCCACGTCATTCTCAGCCACCTGGACTGCTGGTGTGACATCAAAGCCTAAGGATGTGACGGTGCTTCAGTGCTGCCACATGTCCTCTCTCTGCACTACGCAAGCTCTGTAGTAAAATGTTCATTATGGGAACTGATGGTCCCCATACTGCCAGAAGAGAGACGGTCTAGACTTCCCCTCTTTCCTCACTGGGGACACCTTTCATAATGAATCCCATCTAGGACACCCACAGTCGTACCCTTGTCTGCTCTTATTTAGATCTTCCTTGTGCTACTTTTCAGGTGTGGATTTGTGTGTGCATTTCTCCCTCTGGGTTTTATTTATTTATTTTTTGTTTGGGGGTCACATCCAGCAATGCTCAGGGGTTACTCCTGGCTTGCACTCAGGAATTACTCCTGGCGGTGCTTGGGGGACCATATGGGATGCCGGAGATCGAACCCAGCTTGGCCGTGTACAAGGCAAACGCCCTACCCGCTGTGCTATCGCTCCGGCCCCTCCCTCTGGGTTTTAAAGCCCCTTTGTTCTTTCTTTGTGTGGGGCCCTCCCAAACAGTCCTTGGGGACTATCTGGTACTGAGGGTCAGGCTCAAGCAGAGCCCCTTTCTTTACTGGGCAGTCAGGGTTACAAACATTCTATTGCTCTTTCATTTTACTTTTTTTTTTTTTTCATTTTGGGCTACACCCAACAATGCACAGGGGTTATTCCTGGCTTTTCACTCAGGGGACCATATGGGATGCTGGGAATTGAACCCAGGTTGGCCGTGTGTAAGGCAAACACCCTACCTGCTGTACAATCACTCCAGACCCTTACTTTCTTTTTTACGTTTATGTTTTGGTTCTTGGGTCACATCTGTTGGTGCTCAGGGCTTACTTCTAGCACTGCACTCAGCTCCTAGCAGGATTTGGAGGTCAATACGGGATGACAGGACAGGGATTAAACCCGGGTTTACCATGTGCAAGGCAAATGTTTTCCCTACTTTCTGTACTATTGCTCTGGCCCCTCATTTTACTTTTAATTTTAAGGATTTTCAATTCTTCTCCTGGTCTCACAAAAGTCCACATAACATTTTTGCACTTTTCTCAACCATGGTGCTTCAGCAAAAGCTAGAGCCTGGGATTTGGGGACCATTTGGGGTTCAGGGATCAAAACCGAAGAGTTGGCTGTATGCATGGCAAGTACCCTACCTACTGTGCTATCTCAACAGCCCCAGAACTGAAAGTTTTGTTTGTTGTTTTGGACCAGATCCAGTAGTGGTCAGGAATCCTTCCTGGTGATGCTCTGGTAACTGTATATGGTGCTGGAGATTGAACCCAAGTGCCTTACCCATTGTACTATCTCAGTGGCCCCACAAATTATTATTATATATTTGATTCCTCAGAGAACTTTGAAGATACTGTAATAGGACAAATTTCTAAGTCTACAGAATGAAGAATCATTTTTTATATTGAAGATACTTAGAAATTTTCGTTGTCTCTTTTTGGTTTTGGATGTGGCACACCAGCAGTGAAGGGGATCACTCCCGAGTCAGGGTGAACATTAGGGCATCACACAGGGCACTGGAAGTGAAACCTAGACTGGCCACATTACATGCAAGGCAAAACGCCTTACCCACTTACTGTTTCTCCAGATCCACATAGAACTTTCTAAAAATTAATTTATTTTTAGTTTTTTTTGTCATACCTGGCAGTGTTCAGGGTTAACTCCTGGTTTTGTGGTCAGGGCTCACTCCTGGCAGGCTCAGGGGACCATATGTGATGCCAGGGATTGAACTGGGTTGACTGCATGCAGGGCAAGTGCCTGTCCACTGTACTATTGCTCCAGCCCCACGCCCCTATGCCCCAGACTTTGAAACATAATTAGGCTCATTTCTTTCTGGCAGGAGGATAATCACCTGTAAAGATTTTAGTCAGCCCCAAGTGCTAGGGAGAAATTCTGAGTGCTGCCAGGGTAGAGTGGTGAGGAAAGCAACATGGCCATGAAGTCAAAAGGAAGGTGCTGGAGAATTCTTGGGAGGCTTCAGACAGGCCACCAATGTAAGTAGATATGTGAATATATTGAATATATTTATTCATTATGAACGTTTTTAGTATAGGAATACAAAAGGATTCAAAGTGAGGGTGACTGTCAGTGATCTTTACTTAATTTAGAATCTTTTATTTAAAATGCACTTGAGGGGGCTGGAGCGATAGCACAGCGGGTCGGGCGTTTGCCTTGCACGCGGCTGACCCGGGTTCGATCCCCGGCATCCCATATGGTCCCCCAAGCACCGCCAGGAGTAATTCCTGAGTGCAGAGCCAGGAGTGACCCCTGAGCATTGCTGGGTGTGACCCAAAAAGGCAAAAAAAAAAAAAATGCACTTGAGGAGGGGCTGGAACAATAGCACAGGGGGTAGGGCGTTTGCCTTGTACATGGCCAACCCAGGTTCAATTCTCAGCATCCCATATGGTTCCCCAAGCACAGCCAGGAGTAATTCCTGAGTACATGAGCCAGGAGTAACCCCTGTGTATCACCGGATGTGACCCAAAAGGCAAAAATAAAAAGAATGCACTTGGGTTGGGCCAAAATGCTTTGCACATGGCTGACCTCGGTTCAATCCCTGGCATCCCATATAGTCCCCCTAGCACTGCCAGGAGTGATTTTTGAGTGCAGAGCCAGGAGTAACCCCTGAACATTCCCAGGTGTGACCCAAACAGCCCCCCCCCCCCAAAATGCACTTGGGTTGAAGTGATACAGTGGGTAGGGTGTTTGCCTTTACATGCCCAACCAGTGTTGAATCCCAGCATCCCATGTAGTCCCCTGATCCCTTAGTGCAGAGCCAGGAGTAAGCCCTGAGCACTGCTGGGTGTAGCCCTCTTCCCCCCCAAGAAATGTAAAATCCACTTGGGGGCCCAAGAGGTAATATGATGGTTAGCACTCAGGTCCCGTATGCATCTTAGCCGGGTCAGCATTACTGAGGCAAAACCCTGGGCTCTCGAGCATAGCAGATGCATCTGAGGAGAGCAGACATTGCGCACTGCAGCATGTGGCCATGGCGTTCTCATACCCTTGTAGTTTATTGCCTGCCCAGTCAGCCAAGAATCACTGGTGGGGTGTTGAGGTCTTGGAGGAATAAATGCATACATACATAACCCATACCTGCTTACCTGCATGTGTAAAATGGACCTGAGCAGTCAATATATTAATATCAATAGTATTTACACCAAAATATTACTTATTCCCAACTTAGTAGTATTTTTATTTGAATCTTTTATCTTTTACCACATTAAAAATTTTTTGTACCAAATTCTTGAATTTGTTGAAAAGCGTCTGTAAAGCAATCTTCCCTTTATGTTTCATTTTCATTTCACCTGTATTAAAATAAGTGTGCACTTTCACATTCCTTTTTTTTTTCCCCCTTTTGAGGTAGGTTGCCATATGCAGTGGTACTAGGACTTTGGGGATTGGATGCCCTATCAGTGGAGAAACAAAAAACATTGGACTCTGTAGACTGTAGCTCAGGGGCCCACTGCTGATGTCAGCAGATATGGAAAGGGCTTGGGGCCTGGAATGTAGCTCAGAGGGTAGAGCAGCAAGGCCAGGAAGGATCCCTAGCATTGCAGGAGCAGGGCCTCACCCTTGGGCCCTAGTGTTGAACCCTGCCCAGTTGTCAGATTACCTAGAGTTATCCACACACCCGCAAAGAAGACAGGAAAATTCCCTTTAGAAGTTCAGGGACTGAGCTGCGAAGGTCCACAGGTGCCTTAAGCAGCAGACAGATTCTAATCTGGAATCAAGTTCCCTGAGGAACTTGTCTGGCTGGAGTGCTTGGAATAGGCTGAGGGTCAAGTTGGAGTTTCCTCCTAGCTCAGGGCCTCCTCCAGGGTTTTCTTCCACCCTGGGCCCTGGAGGAAACGACATTTCCCAGAGGGCGGTGCAGGGACATGGTACCCAGAAGCCAAGGAGTTGGGCTATGGGGAGAGGAAGTGTGATTTCTACCAGACAGATGAGGTCGGACACTAGAGGAACTTTTCTTAGATCCATCTCTCCATAACTTTGTTGCAGGGACAAGAAAGAGTGAGGAGAAAGATTAGGATGGAGGTGGCATTCAGCTTGTGTACAAGCTGATACCCGAGTGGTGACATTTTTCTATATGGAGTGAGGGTCCCAAGCTGAAGGTCTTAAGGTCCTCAGCTTACCTGGCCCCTAAATGGAGCAATTTTGTCTTCCCATTCCTTAGCATATTTGGTTCTGGTCCCACCAACCCTGACTCAAACATGAGGCATGCAGTCAATCACTACTTCTGTGTTATTTTGGTTTTTCAGCCACAGCAAGTCCTGCTCAAGCCTTCTTCTGGCTCTATTCAGGCCACTGTACATGGTGCTGGGGGTTGAATCTGCAAGGCAAGGGATTTATCCCCATGCTATCTCTCTGAAGCCAGAAAAACACAGCAAGGACGAAATTATTTTTGAAGTGGTCCTGGAACAGTTTATGATCAACAGGCACTGCAGTGATGGGTCCTTTTTAAAGGAGAATGGGAGTCAAGTGGAAGGAACATGGAGAAATTCATGGAGAAGCTGGTGATAATTTTTTTAAGCCCACTGCCTTGGTAAGTGAGGGAGTGAGGGGCACGCCTAGAGTCAGACAGGGTACCTAAGTGATGGGAAGGGGGTCAGTTGTAACCCAGCAACTAGTCAGGACACACTCATTCTCACCATGGGGTATGCTCCCTCAGGGTAAGCTAGAATAAAAAAATTTTTATAGGCATTTCTTCTGTGGTACAGAAAAAATTCTGTACACACAGCACTAGACATGTTCATCAACTTTTGTTGGGGAGAGAACAGAAAGACTGAATAAGAAACTATCACTGGGGGCTGGAGCGATAGCACAGCGGGTAGGGCGTTTGCCTTGCACGCAGCCAATATGGCCAACCCAGGTTCGATTCCCAGCATCCCATATGGTACCCAGAGCACCGCCAGGAGTAATTCCTGAGTGCATGAGCCAGGAGTAACCCCTGACCATTGCCAGGTGTGACCCAAAAAGGAAAAAAAAAAAGAAAAGAAAGAAACTATCACTGACAGAAACTCAGGGAGGACAAATGATTTGATAAGAGCTAGTTCTACCCTCAGAGTCTCGGGACTCCTTTTCTTTCTTTATAAAAATATTTTTAACTTTTATTTGGGAAGCTATACTCTAGCAGATTAAGCCAGAATTTAAAAAAAAACTAATGAGGGCTGGAGTGATTGTACAGCTGAAGGGAGTTTGCCTTACATGTGACTGAACAGGGTTCAATCCCTGACACCCCATATGGTTCCCTGGACTTGGCAGGAGTGATATCACCTGGAGCACCACGGGGAATTGCCCAAAATCTAAATTAAATGAATTAATTAAATTAAATTGTATGGGAGCTCACAGTTAGAGATAGTGACTGTTTCGCAGCTGATACGGTGTGACAGTGCCAGGGCTTCATGCTTGTGTGAATAGTTCATGTCTGCATGCAGTCAGAAAGCCTTTTTTTTCCCCCTAAGAATATACCCTTATGAGAAGTCACAGTTCATCTAAGGCAACAGTTGTCAGTGGGGACCCCAACATTGAAGAACATGAGAATGCTCTCCTGGACTTCCCAGGACTCCTCTCTGGAAGCAGAAGTAGGTGAGTGCACCCAGTTTGAACTCTGGGGCAGTGATCTCTGTGTTCTCTTCTTTGGTGGAACATAACTGAGTCTCTCCCCACTGCTCACAAGAAATGAAAGTAAAGATGGTGGAGTAGATATTTCTTCTACTCCATGTCAAATGAAGAAAGTTTTTCTGGTCAAGGAGACAAAATGTATTTTCTATTCATTATCCAGGAAGGAAACTGCTGTAGGCCAAAAGAGGAAGGTGTTTGTGCGGAGAATTCGTGTCTGTGCTCATTAGAGATACGGGTCTGCAGTTCTCTTTTGTTGTGATGTCTCTGTCTGCTTTGGTATTAGGGTAATGTTTGCTTCATAGAAACTATTTGAGAGTATCTTTATTCTTCAATTTCCTTGAAAGAGCCTTAAAAGGACTTGTAGTAGGTCTTCTGTAAAGGTAAAAAAAAATACACTAGCGAATCTATCTGGACCTGGGCTTCTGCTTTGGGGGAGACTTTTGATTACTATTTGATTTCTTTGATTGTGATAGGTCTGTTTAAGTTTTCCATATATTATTGATTTAGCCTTGGGAGGTTATAGGACTCTAAGAATTTATTTTAAATTTATCTTAAACATGAATTTATCTCTCAGTTCCACAGTGACAGACACCTCCAGACTCCAGAGAGGAACCTTTCAGGGTCCCCTCATCAAGGTGACCGTGGGGTGGGACCAGTGAATCTCTCCTTTGAGATCTCCTTTGAAGCTGTTGCCACATCGGGGAGGAGAAGTAGAAAGACTCCAAGCCCTCAATTATACACATGTGAGAAATGTCCCAAGGTGTTCAGGTATTGCTGACAGTTAAAGCTCATCTGAGAAGGCACAGTAACGAGAGGATGTTTGTCTGCACCTCGTGCCAGGAAGGCTTCTTCCAGACCTCAGACTTGTGTGTGCACCAGAACAGTTACTCGAGTGAAGCCTTTCACCCACCCCACCTGTCACAGGTCCCTCAGCAATAAGACCAACTGTGCACTCATGAGAGAATCCACACAGGAAAGAAACCCTATAAATGTGTGCTTCATCAGAGACGCTACCGCCAGTCCTCTGCCTACCACCGCTGCCTGAGGACTCAGCAGTGACTGCCTTCAGAAGTATTCCCCTGCCGCAGACTTTCATCCACACATGGCTCTGAGGTGACCAGCTGCAGTCTCTCCTTTTTTTCCAAGCATCAGTTACTGCTGGTTCATAGATGCCAGTAGAAGTAAAATGTCAGAAATGGGAGCCCAGTGTCCAGCATGCCACACCATCATGAATAGCAGCAGTGACCTCTTGCATTGTGTTCCTAACTGCCTGATTTGTAAACTGCACTTATCACAGCTGCCCATTTCTAGAAACAACTTAGTGTATATGGGCCCAGAGTCCACTGCAAGTCTAGAACATTCACTTTACTGATTGGCAGGGAGCACTAGGCTCCTTCCCCTTTAGGAAGGTGGGAGCCATTAAATCCTCAAAAAAAAAAAAAAATCTTCCTGGCCCTTAATTTTCCCACTGTGACTTGCATGGTTATTTATTGTTTGTGATATACACCACATTTTTCAGGATCTGTTCACCTTTCTTCAATCTTGTTTCTATTTCTCATACTGGTGAACTTTGTTTTGGGCCACGCCTCAAGGCTTAGTTTTTACTCTTTGCTCAGGGGACACTCCTGGCAGGGCTTGGGGGATCAAATGCAATGCCGGGTGCCAGCCTCATGCAAGGCAGCTGCCCTCCCCACTACTCTCCAGTTCCTGGGATGGGAATTTTAACAAGTATCATATTGAGGGCTGGGGAGTGGGAGTGGCAGCACCAGCATTGCTCCAGTTTCTCCCAGGCTGGTCCTTACTCCAGGTGGTCCAGGTCTTTGAGCTTTCTCCCCAGTTTTCTCACAGATTTTAACTGGTAAATATGAATGAGCACAGGGCCGGAGCAATAGTATCCCAGGTAGGGCATTTGCCTTGCATGCGGCTGACCTGGTTCAATCCCTGGCTTCCCAATGGTCCCCCAAGCACTGCCAGAAATAATTACTGAGTGCAAAGCCAGGAGTAATCCCTGAGTATAGCTGGGTGTGACCCCCCCTCCCAAAAAAAAGAACGCACACATTCATAAAGAATTCAAGACAGTTACATTTCCTAAAACCAAAACAAAATATTTGTTGTTTTTATCCCTGCACACACGTCCCTATCCTCATTCTTTTAATTTGCCATTTGTGACTATTTCCAGATGCAGCGCTGGTCCTGCGCTGTAAGTTCAAAGTGTGGATGTGTTTGGTGGTCGAGAACAAAGCTGGCAATGGAGGGAGGAGGGGAAGGAGGGATGTAAGGGAGAACGGGGCTATGGGCTGGTTGGTAATCAGTGACTCTTTATTTCATTTCACAGCATTAGTTATATAGAAATTGTGAAGTTTGGGTGTATACATAGGTGGGGTTGAACATTATCATAATAAACAGATGTAAAGTCCCTCCTTCAGGTGGATTTCTTTTAGGGGATTAACTCAGGGACAAAATCTCATTTGGGGGTTCAGTACTCTACGTTATTAGGAGGTCCGCTCAACGGCGGGATTCCATCTAAGGGTGTATTGCTTTCTCCTTTACTTAGCTAGCAATCCATTTAAGCAGTCATATTAAATTTACTTCTTATTAATATTTCTAGTCATTTTGTATGAACACAGTAAGATATATTAAGCTTAAAGAATGGCTCTTCCTGGGGATATCTCGCTATATATTCCAGACTACAGTCCTCAGGCCAGGTTAGTCTTTCCTAACCCCAGCAGGGTCCGTCACTTACTTTTTTGGTCATGGCAGACTTGGTTCCATAAATGTGCTCTTAATTTATTATACTTCTTAATGGTGCTTAGCTTGTCCCTTTTCGATGCCAGGGTAGCTTACTGCTTGCCCTGGGTCCATACAAGTCCCTCGATGGGACCCTTCTTTTGCGATTGTTAGGAAGTAAGGGCAACAGAGGCTTAAGTCAAGTAAATATGATGGAAGTGGAGGAGTAAATATTATTCAGGGTCAGTTAACTCACATGTAACCAAAGCATAGCATCCACTCTCTTCCTGTGTCTATACGAAATGGATATTGCTAAACCATGCACTGTAGCACTGTAGCACTGTCCTTCCATTGTTCATCGATTTGCTCAAGCGGGCACCAGTAACGCCTCCATTGTGAGACTTGTTACCGTTTTTGGCATATTGAATATGTCATGGGGAGCATGCAAAGGACATAAAAGAAAGAGAAAACTAATATAGGACTAATATTAGTTAGTGCCTGGTGGAATTGGGTGTGCCTCAGGAGCAGTGTGGTGGGAGTAACTCAACAAACCTAAGCTTCCTGCGGGAGGAGCAAGGACAAACGAGTGTTATTCAGAACAGCATACTTCATGCTCAAGGTTGCCCCTCTTGAGATATGGATGTGATTAGGGCCCCCACCAAGTCATAGTGGGCATTGGGAGCACCTAGACCAGGCCCTGACCCCAGAATGAGCTGCATGTGGCTGGGACGGACCAACAGGCAGCCCTGTAGGATAGGGTGATGAGTTTTAAATTCCTTGAGCTAGTGAAGTCCTTCAGCTGTGGGAAAGACAAAAATGACTTTCTAGCTGCCTTGGGCCCTCATTGGCACCAGACTTTTCCATTCATGAGAAGCTACAGAGTATCTTCAAATGCAAGAGGTCAATAATAAGGACAAAAAAATGTGAGAAGTGGGTTCTAGATGAGGCACACCTCACTCCCAGCAGTTTGTCTACACTGGAGTAGGCCTTGATGATGGGATAGCCCTTGATGACAAACCAGATTAGTTCAGCACCGGGAAATTCATGTCACAGAAAGTGTGGAGAATACAGCAAACACTTTTGTTGCAAAACTTACCTTGTTTGACTTTGGCAGGTTCACAGTGGAGAGAAGCCGTGTAAATGCATTGAATAAAGAAAGTTTTTTAGCCAGAAATCTGACCTCATTCAGCACAGAGTCACAACAGGAAAAAAAATCCTCTGACTGCTCTGAGTGTAGGAAACCCATTATTCAGAAATCTCTTCTGATTTAACACCGCAGAGTTCACACTAGTGTGATCCTTATGGAAACTGTGAATGGAGGGATCTTTTAGGCAGAGCACTGGTCAACTCTGGCACAAGGGTGCTCACAAGAGAGCAAGGCCTTGTGAGTGCGCAGAAAGCTGTAAAACTAGCTTCATTCAACATTGGAAAGTTCACAGTGGAGCAGGACCTTATTGCCGGCCTGCGTTCGTTCCCCGGCATTCCATATGGTCCCCCAAGCACTGCACTGTAGCACTGCCCTCCCGTTGTTCATCGATTTGCTTGAGTGGGCCCAGTAACGTCTCCATTGTGATACTTGTTGTTACTGTGTTTGGCATAATCAAACCTGGCTTGGCCAGGCTGTCCATGTGCAAGGAAAACGCCCTATCTCGGGGCTGGAGCAATAGCACAGCAGGTAAGGTGTTTGCCTTGCACGCAGCTGACGTGAGTTCGATTCCCAGCATCCCATATGGTCCCCTGAGCACTGCCAGAAATAATTCCTGAGTGCGGTGCCAGGAGTAACCCCCAAGCACTGCCGGGAGTAATTCCTGAGTTCAGCGCCAGTAATAACCCCTGAGCATTGCTGGGTGTGACCCAAAAAGCAAAAAAAAAAAAAAAAAAAGGAAAGAAAAGAATAAGAAATCTGTCCACATACCAATACCAAAGAATTCAAGTTGGAGAAAGGCCCTTTTGAGTACAGTGAGTATGGGAAGTCTTTTGTTGTTTTTTATTTTGGTGCCACACCCACGCTAGAATTACTCCTGGCTGTGCTGGGGGAGGGGGAGGTAGGAGGGCAAGGAATTATATGGGATGCTGGGGATCGAACCTGGTTGGCTCGTGCAAGGCAAGCATCGTACCCACTATACTGTCCAACTCTATGGTTGTGGGAAATCTTTTAATCAAAATCTATCCTTATTCAATACTAGCGAGTTCACACAGGGAAAAGGCCATTGACTGCAACGTGTGGGAAATCTTTTAGCTGCAAAAAACACCTCTTTGGCTGTGAGACAGTTCGTACAGGAGTATGAACCTTATGAGTACAAAGAATGGGCGGAATTTTTTTAGAGCCCAGAGCTGCTTCAACCATTGCAGGGTTCATGTGTAGAGAATTAGTGAATCGGGTCCAGGCAGCGAGCCCCAGCCTCTCTCCTTGTTCCAATTCCCGGAGGGGAAAGAGCCTCCTGGATGGAAAGCGACTACATTACCCAGGGGCCTCTGGGCTGCGATGGCCGCTCAATGAAGGGCGTTTCCGGAACTTCCGGTGCCGGGCACTTTTGCTGCTGCGCTGGGAAGGACGCCTAGAGGAGGTCCAGCGGATCAGGGTAAGTCTGGGTGACGGTAGCAGCTGGACGGCGCGAGAGACCCTGTTTTGCCTGAACAAACCTTGGGAACTGGGGCGCACCCGAAACCTGCCTTTCGCCGCGCAGGTTGGTGGGGACGCTGCCGCCCCTCCAGGCTTCCCTGACGCTCCGTGGGGGGTGGGTGGGTGGGGGATCACGTGTTCCCGCATCTCCACTCTTAAGTGTGGAAAATATGGGAAACATTTGCAAAACGAACCTTGTTTGACTTTGGCCAGTTCACAGTGGAGAGAAGCATGCAAATGCATTGAATAAAGAAAGTCTTTTAGTCAGATATCTGACCTTACTCAGGCCGCGGGGTCTGGTGACAGTAGCGACTGCAGTGTCATTTAAAGCGACTGCCTTTAAATGCCGGAGTTGGTTGGGGCGCGGGGGGCGGCGCCGTGCGATTCCGGCCCCTGGGAGGAATGTTTGGTTTGGGGACAGCACTCGGGGCACTTTATGTGGTGTCAGGGACATCCTGCCCACTGCACTATCTTCTGCCCTGAAGAGTTTCATGAAGTGAAGTGAGACCGGCGACAGTTAGAGCCAGGTGTGGGAGGACGGAGACAGGAGGTGTTCTCAGGGGTCCCCTCAGAGGAAAACGGGCAGAGTCTGGTGGTTCCTGGTCTGAGACATCTTAGCACACAGCTGTCCCCAGGACCTGCAGGTCTGGTTCGAAAAAGGGACCGTTTCTGAGACCTGGACTGCGGGAGACCCTAGGTCAGCCCCCAGGGAGCGAGCAGACTTCGATTGTGAGTTCAGGGTGTAACTGTGTGAGGCCTGGGGTGAAAGCAAGGGCGGGGTAGCCGCTGTTCCCTTGGTGTGTTTTCATAGGTGCTACCTCCTGTGTGCGCACACGGTTGCGTGTGTGTATTTGGGGTCACTCCCTGTGGGGCGCGGGTACCCTGTTTGGTGGCAGGATGAAACCACACGGTCCCCTGTACTATTTCTCTGGCCCTTGCCAGGAAAGCTTGGAAGATGGAGTCTCAGGGTCAGCTTGGACATCCTGACCTCAAGACATTAGTTTTTAATTTTGCGAAGGGAAATAGTTTTAGGGGAGGGGAGACAGGAAGGAGAGTGAAGAGAAATCCCAATAAAGTGAAAAAAGGGAATTATATAAACCACACTGATTTTACACTCAGCGATTCCAGAGTGTTTCCTGCAACACTGTTCCTGCAGCCCATTTCTGATGTGCCTTTTTATATTTAGGTGCTGGGGATTTTGTTTGTTTTAAGGTCACACCCTGCTGTGCGCATGGCTTTGTTCTGTCTCTGTGCTCAGAGATGACTCCTAGCTGGTTTTGGGGGACCATATGTGATGCTAGGAATTGTATGTGTCAGCCACGTGCAAGAAAAGCACCCTACCCCATGCTATTTGGGGGTCTTGCGGGAGGGGGGCATTCCTAGTGGGATTGCTTCCATGTGGTGACGGGGATCAAAATCCAGGAGTCCCACTTGCAAAGTATGTGCGCCAGCCATTTGAGCCATCTCCCTCATCCCAGTATTTAGTTTTAATATTTTCAGGACACAGAGGCCTATATTTGGCTGTGTTCAGGGTTTATTCCTAGCTCTGTGCTTAGGCATCCCTCCTGGTGGTGCTGGGGATCTAACCAGGTTGATCATGTGCTATGCAAGTGCCTTACCCTGGTGCTATCTCTCCGGCCCTTTTTGTTTTCATTTGGGGTCACATCCAGCTATACTAAGGGCTTACTCCTGGCACTGTACTCAGGAATAACTCCTGGCCATACTCTGAGTGACATGTGTGGTGTCAGGAGTCAAACCCAGGTTGGCCATGTGTAAAGCAACCCTGCCCACTTGGCACCTCACTTAATTATCTTATGAATGGGCTTCTCTGGGCAGCGGTTTGTCACTCATTTTCCCTCTTTCCTTTGTGCTTATACATTTTAGCACCTGTGTAGAGACTGATCTATTGCAGAGGAAAGAATTCAAAGTTCTAAGGTGTTATTCAACCCTAGCAGGTAGGGCTTAAATGGGTCCTAGTGAGGATGAGTGTCAAAACAATGCGTTGCACACTTATTTTCATTCTGATCTTTGTCCCAGGGCTATCCACCCTGCTCAGTAGTGCAATTCATGCCTCCCCTCAGAGCACTGGGCAAAGCTACTGTGTCAAGAGACATTCTCGGGGCTGGAGCAATAGCACAGCTTGTAGGGCGTTTGTCTTGCACGGGGCTGACCTGGGTTCAATTCCTAACATCCCTGAGCACCATCAGGAGTAATTCCTGAGTACAAAGCCAGGAGTAACCCCTGTGCATCACCAGGTGTGACCCAAAAGGAAAGAGAAAGAGAGGAGAGAGAGAGAGAGAGAGAGAGAGAGAGAGAGAGAGAGAGAGAGAGAGAGTGTCTCAAGTCCCTTATAGCTCTTGGATACAAGTGCCTCTTTTTACTTAAGATTCCTATTGTCCTACACAGCTCACCTGTACAGTTCGCCTATCATTGATAGCCAAGACTGTTTTCTTTTTGCTTTTTTTTGGTTTTGGAGCCATACTTAGGGATGCTCAGGGGTTACTCCTGGCTCTGCAGTCAGGAATCACTCCTGGTGGTGCTTGGGAGAACACATGAATGCTGGGGATTAAATCCTGGACAGCTGTGTGCAAGGCCCTATCCACTGTACTATTGCTCTGACCCCACCAAAGCCTTTTTTAAGGTCAGAGACCCCGCCTGCACCTTGAACTATATTCCATCGTTATGTTTTTGTTCTTTCTCAGTTTCTCCATTCTGTGACACTTCTAGTTCATTTTGCTCAAAAACTCTTTAACGTGCTTTCAGATATTTTGTGCTGCCAGCAGCCACATCGCCAGACACTGTCATGCTGCCCTCTCTGACCAAGTCCACACTTACTTCAATACCACTGTTCTAATTCCAGATGTTGGTGTGGGTGGAAGATAAAGAACACTCTCTGGAGCAGTTTAGTGCCCCATGTTTGCACAGGATCATCTGCCCAGATGACTCATTCGTGTGACGTGTGTGGCCCCATTTCAAGAGGTACTTTCCCCCTGGATGAATATCAGGACACCCACAGGGTTCTGGGATCTGGAACATGGGGAACGTGGGGTTTGTGGGAGCCAAACCGGATACAATGAAAACTTTGATCCATACTTGAAGTCGTGCAAAGCAGAGAAATGCTTAAGAAGAAAGAAAACATCTCTCTTCTGAGTTGCTGTAGAGTTTGTGAAGAGCCTCAACTGTCAGAGAGACCTTCCATAGGTGAGGCTTCCACAGTATGCGTCACCAGCAAAAGGCCTGCCACGGCCAGAGGAAGGCCCAGAACAGTAAAAGTGGCGAGACCTGTCACACTGGAGAAATGCATTACAGGTGTACTGAGTGTGGGAAGGCCTTTAGCCGCAAAGACACGCTGGTCCAGCACCAGAGGACCCACACCGGGGAACGGCCTTACGAGTGCAGTGAGTGTGGGAAGGCCTTCAGCCGCAAAGCCACTCTGGTTCAGCACCAGAGAATCCACACTGGAGAACGGCCATATGAGTGCAGCGAGTGTGGGAAAACTTTTAGTCGCAAAGACAACCTGACTCAGCACAAAAGAATTCATACTGGAGAAATGCCTTATAAGTGTGGTGAATGTGGTAAGTTCTTCAGCCATCACTCCAACCTTACTGTACACCAGAGAGTCCACAGTGGAGCAAGGCCTTATATGTGCAATGATTGTGGAAAAGTCTTCAGACACAAGTCCACACTTGTTCAGCATGAAAGTATCCACACTGGAGAAAATCCTTATGTTTGCAGTGACTGTGGGAAATGCTTTGGTCACAAATATAGCCTCTTTAAGCACCAGAGAATTCACACTGAAGCAAGGCCTTTTGAGTGTATGGAGTGTGGGAAATTCTTTAGTCGGAGTTCTGACTTTATTGTACATCAGAGAGTTCATACTGGTGAAAGGCCTTTTGTGTGCAGCAAATGTGGGAAAGATTTCATCAGAACCTCTCACCTTGTTCGGCACCAGAAGGTTCACACTGGAGAAAGGGCTTATGAGTGCAGTGAGTGTGGGAAATGCTACAGCCTCAACTCACATCTCATTAGGCATCAGAAGGTTCACACTGCAGGTCAGCTATAGGGGCATGTTGCTATTGCTGTCTCACAGGGACATAAGTCCTGTGCTAACTTGGGTCTGAACAGTAACCTTGGGAGATGGCTTTTGAAGGGCAGGGTAAAGAAGTTTTCAGATTGTATGGTCCACTTTGAAACCTGCTTAAGGTTTATTGGTGGATGTGCTTTGTGAAAGCCTGTGGTTGAAACTCACAAAAGTTTTCTGTCTCATTCACCCTGATATGCTCAAAGGAAGTTCAAAGTGAGCTCCTTGTTCTCTCTAAAAAGGTTTATTTTTTAAACCTTCTAAAGATCATTGTTCTTCTCATAAGAAACTGGCAGAGATTTACAGCCTCCGAGAAACCCAACTTGAAGAATTCTTTGCCTTGTGTTACTCTGGTTTGTGGATAATAAAGATGGTGTTTCAGTCACTGGTTCTTTCACTAGGGGAATGCTGTGTCCGATTGTCCGTGGCTGACCAGGCTAGCAGTTAATGCAAGGACCTGAGCATGTGCTGCTTCTCAGGGCTCCAGGCCTGCACCCTGCAGTGCTTGAGGGACTGTGTGGTGCCAGGGATCAAACTGGATGTTATAATGTAATAATAACATAGCCCTTGGACGTTTTTATTTTTAATGATTGGATTGACTTTGAACACAGACCATTCCCAACCAAAGAGGTAAGGGCAGGGGTGTGCCTCAAGGGGACAAGTTGGAGAGAGCTGTTCTCCATTCAGTTTGGGTATTTGCAAAGCAGACAGAAGCTGCTGAAGTGAAAGTTCATGACTTTGTGGGCCTGATTTTGCCTGGGTTTCAGTTATTTAAAGTTCTAGCATCACCTTTTAACAAGCTATAGTGCATTTGGCAGCAGCCTTATTGTATCTTGTCTGCAGGAGAAAAAAAAAACCTCCACATCCCACTTTATTTGGGAAAATAATGTATTGACATCTGTTTTGGCAGCAGATACTTAATTTCTAGCCTTACCACCCACAGTTAGAAACAGCCCAGCTATGCTGTGTTTGGGAATTTTCAATGACTTTAAGCGAGGTTTGGAAGTTAAGTTGAAAGTAGAATGGACTGAGACATTTGGGTTCTTTTAGGATCGTTTTAATGTCTTCTTCAAGTAGGATGTGCATCTGGTGGGACAGAGGGCAAACTGCCAGCAGCAGATTCTGCAATTCTCAAGTCTGCATGGCTGGAGCAAAAGCACAGTGTGGGGGCTGGAGCGATAGCACGGCAGGTAGGGTGTTTGCCTTGCACGCAGCCAACATGGCCGACCCAGGTTCGATTCCCAGCATCCCATATGGTCCCCCGAGCACCGCCAGGACTAATTTCTGAGTGCATGAGCCAGGAGTAACCCCGGAGCATTGCCGGGTGTGACCCAAAAAGCAAAAAAAAAAAAAAAAGCACAGTGGGAAAGGAGGGTGCTGGCCTTGCACACCTGACCCAGTGTGTTCTCTGGCACCACATATAGTCCTCCGAGTATCAATGGGGTATGATCCTGGAGCACCATCGTTGTAGCCCCAAACTAAAGATGAACTTGCTCTGTTCCCCAGAGCCTGTGTGCATTGCTGGAGAGTGCCAGTGTGTTTGTGTGAGTATGTGTAAATCACAGTGAGTGCTTTGTCATGAGACTTAGCTCAGATGGACTCATCTAACACCTGGTATTAGCAATTTTTATTAGCTTTGCAGAAAGTATGAATTGAGGACTCAGAGGTGAGGTGCCTTGACAGGCTGACTCTCTAACTGCTTCTACCACTGAGCTCTGCAAGTCCTGGAGAAACTCCCAGAGCTGTGGCTGCAGCCCTATGACCCAAAGCCACATCAGAGCTCTGAAGAGAGTAGTGTGTGTTCTGGCGATTCGTCAGAAGTCCCCAGCCATGTGCAAGCAGGAACTTTCCCACACACCTGCTAGCTGATTGGAGGAGGGTTCTGGGGAATTCGAAGCCAGAGCCCAGAAGTCACAGATGTGCCTGGGGTGGGTTCCGAGATGGCATGACCCTCAAACCCCAAGTACTGCAGCTTTAGGCTCTCCACATACCCTGTTGGCCAGCAACCCTTGCCTTCTGTGCTTCCCAATTCTGAAAGGGAAGAATCCCTCTCTCCATCAGGGCTCAGGTGAAACCCCTAAACAGGAAAGGGTCTGGAGGAAGACAGGCGTCTAGAAGAATTGTGCATTTTAGTATCTGGTGGCAGACTGTGGCAGCCTTGGGGAGAGCATGCCCATATGCAAGGATGCTGCTCACAGCAGGCGGTGGGGTACATGAGGTACAGGCCATTGACTAGGAACTAATACAGGTGCAGTGGATTACAGAGCAAGCCAGTGGTGAGCTGTTCCTCAAATGTGACTTTCCCAGGCCGGCATGAACCCAACCCTGCGGTTCTGTCCTGATATGGGAGGGAGCAGCTCGGGACACTTCCACACCCACAGTCCCTGCTGTAAGCTGCTAGCTGGGCTGAACATGAACTCAGGGACCTCGGAGTTTTTGAGCCTTTAAAACCGGTCAGAACGAGGCATAAGGGCCTTTCGTTTCCTTAGTACCACCTTCTGGGGCCACGCGCTCCACCCTTGCCTGCCTTCTAGAAAACATCCCTCAGTGGCCCGGAATCCACCTTCCGTAGTAGTGCTAAATGCCTGGAGACCCTAACGTGGCTCCTCGTCTCTGCTCAATCACAGGGTGCGGCTATCGGGTCGTCCCCACGTTCCCTGCGCCCCGCACTTGGAACCGAGGTGGAACCTCCCCTCGGCTGCACTCCACGACATCACGTCCTGGGACTGGCGACCTCGTACTTCAAGCAGGAGCGCGGGGCTGAACTCTAGTACTTCAAGCAGGAGCACGGGGCTGAGCTCTAGATGCTTCGCTCGTGTTTAATCCTTGAGCCATTCCTCAGTGTACCGCATGGACACACCCCGCACTTGGATCTCATTGGTCATTGCGTGCGGACACGCCCCGTCACTGGGCCTACATTGCTCACTGTGCGGACAAGGGCTTCTGAGCGCTCCTTAAACTAGCGACCGTGCCGCCCAGCGTCCTGGGAAATGTAGTTCCCTGCACGAGTGCAAGATGACGAGTGGGGAGAGCGACCCAGAAAAATGTGTTGGGAAAGCCAATGAAGTCTCAGAGGGGTTAGGATGGAAGGCACTAGAATGATTCTTCACACAAACACGTCTCTGGCCATATTTCATTTCTTTTGTTTTTGGTCCATACCAGGCAGTGCTCAAGTGTTTTTCCTGGCTCTGTGATGACGGACCTTGCGCAGTGGCTGGCTATTCCCTGAACTATCTCTGCACCTTTGCAAATTATTGTTGCTTGGTTTGGTTTTGCTTTGATTTGGTTTTAGGGACCCACCTGGTGGTTTTCAGTGTTACTCCTGGCTCTGCACTCAGGGATCACTCTTCACCTATGGGGAACGAGATAGGTGCTGGGATCCCGCCATCCCTGGTACCCTTCCAGCTGAACACTTTTATAGCAGCTCCTTGCCCTTCGATATTGTGACCTAAAACAGGTTGCAGATCCTCACACACCCAGATGTTTGCGGGATGGCACAGCTGACAGAGCTGGGGCTCCTGCCCCTGCCCAAAGTTGCGCTCAGACCTCTAAGCCCTATGTCCCGTCCATCAGCCCAGGCTTCTGTCTCTGATGGCTGCTTCTGTTTCTCAGAACAGCAGAAAACATAAGTTTCCAGGGACGGGGAAAAAAAAAAACCTGAAGTGGGGCCAGAGCAATAGCGCAGGTGTTAGGCACCACATATGGTCCCCCAAGCATCATTGGGAGTTATTTTTGAATGCACAGCCAGGAGTAAGCCCTGACCACCACCAGGAATGGCCCCCAAAGAAAGAAAGAAACAAACAAAAATCCCCAACCCGGAAGGGGGCTGGAGCATTAGAATAGTGGGCCAGCCACTTGCCTAGCATGCAGCTGACCTGGATTTGTCGTCTGCCACCACAGTGAGAATCTTGGGGGATCATATGGGGTGCCAAAGGATGGAATCCAGGTGGGCCACCTGCAAGGCCAGTGCTTACCCCCTGCGCTAATGCTCTGGCCCCCCTTCAGGATTTTTTTTTCCTGGCAAATGGCTGAGCAGTATTCCTTAGCTGAGTAGAATTTCACTGTGTATATACATAACACATCTGTATCTACATCCACTCATGGGCACCTTTTTTTCCAGTTCCTGAAAATTGTAACACCGCAGTAAACTTGGGTGCAATACACTTCAGTTCTGTACTGTTTACACATTCTTCAGTAAGTATACAGAAGTGCAGTGAGTGAATTGTATTGAATTTGCAGTGCCCAGGGATTACTTCTGGAGGTACTTGATAGACCATATGCAGTGCCAATGATTAAACCAGGTCAGCTGTGAGCAAGGCAGGTACCTTACCCTATACTCTCTCCCCAGCTCCAGTGTGACACTTTTGATTGATAAAATTCAGCTTTATTATATTTAGAATAATTATTGATACTACCGCTTTTTCCTTGGTCTATTTTTTTTTAAGCCAGGGGTCGGGGTGCGAGGTTCCACACCTGGCAGTACTCAAAACTTACTCCTGGTTCTGTGCTCAGGGATCACTCCTAGTAGGGCTAGGGAATCATATGTGGCTCTGGAGACTGAATCTGGGCCAGCACCCTGCTTGCTATACAATATCTCTGGCCCCTCATTATATTTTCCTATCTTTCATTTTCTTTTCTTTGAATGTTTCTATTTTGGGGCCACATACAGCAGTGCTCAAAGGCTATTCCTGGTTCTTGTACTTAGGCATGACCCCTGGTGGTACTTGGAGAACTAGAAATAGCCTGCAGCAAGGTAAGCTCCTGCATCCCTGTATTATCTCTTTAGATGTTTTATACAAACACAGTGGTAACCAGGAATGGAAAGCTGAACAGGGAAACCATAAATAAAGGGGAAACTGTTATCACCATACAAATCCATGGGAAGAAAATGATAGCTAGAGGACTGGAGAGAGTACTTGCCTTGCACACATCAACCCTGTGATCCCGGTTGATACTGGTATTACATAGGGTATCTTGAGCCCTGCAGGGAGTACTCCTCGAAACAGAATAGAATGTTTCATTTCTGTTTACCTAACATGGGTGTTACATCTATTACCTAGTCATTTTTTGTGCCTTTTTTTTTAAATTACACCTGCTGGTGCTCACAGCTTACTCCTGGCTTTGTGCTCTTAACTCTCTACAACCCCTTTTTGTGTCCTTTTGACTGAATAAAGTTACGTTCATTGTTTCTTATAAGGCAGGTTAGTGATGACTTTTTTTTTTAAAAAAAAATTGGGATTGTTTTTAAGTCTATGGGCCACACCCAGATGTGCTCAGGATTTAATTGACTCTGTGCTTAAGGATCACTCGTGGTGGTGTGGGAAAGATTTTTATTCTCAGTATCTGACAGAGGAGCATTTTCTG